TGACAGGTATGTCTATTAGCATATTGTTATTTGTTTTGCTCTGCTCTGGAGGAGCTGCAATAGACACATGCATTAATTCCTAAAAGCAGTAAAATTCACAGCAAAGTATCCTCTACTTATAAATAGTTTACTTTTCAGTTTTTAACTAATCTAGTAAGATCAAAGAACTTCTTATGGCAGAGTGACTTGGTTAGGGTTTCTGTTGCTGTAACAAAACACTATGACCAAAAAGCAAGTTAGGGAGAAAAGAGTTTATTTGGTGTCCAGTAATGGACTTCCACTTTGTAGTCCATTATTGAAGGAAGCCAGAACAGAAAGTCAAACAGGGCAGGAACCTGGAGGCAGGGGCTGATGCAGAGGCCATGGGGGGGGGGGTGCTGCTTACTGGCTTGCTCCTCATGGCTTGCTCAGCCTGTTTTCTTATAGAACCCAGGACCACAAGCCTAGAGATGGCACCACCTGTAATGGGCTGGACCCTTCTCCCCCATCAATCATTAATTAAGAAAATGTTCTACAAACTTGCCTGCAGCAAATCTTACAGAGGGCATTTTCTTTACTGAGCTTCCCTCCTCTCAGATGACTTTAGCTTGTGTCAAGTTGACATAAAACTACACAGCATAGAAAGCAATCTCATGTCAGCAAAGCACAGCATAAAATATTGATGTTTTATCAGGTTCAACAATTATTTCTTTTGAGATCCAGCAGCTTCATATTCTTACCCCCTTAGGATCCAGAATGTGAGTTTCACGCTCTTTACAATGCACTCCGGTAACAGAGCAAGCAATCGTGCCTCAAAGCAAACCTCATTCACAAAAATTAATAAAAAAGATCTATTCAATAGAAGAGCTTATAAAATGAGAAAGAAAACCTTATTTTTCTGTCTGCCTCAATTTTGAATCTGAGATCATGTATATCTTGTAATTGCATGCTTTGTGCTACTTTTACAAACACAAGTCTATTACAGCTATATACTGTAGATGTAATTCTGAGTGGTTTTATTAAATAAGAAACACAGAGCCAAATGCAGAGTTAAAAGCCCCAGAGGTCAGAAAGCGGTAGCTAAGAGCTGAGACTAAGACTGCCTTCTTATCCCTTGTTGCTGCTGCTGTCCTTCCCCTGAGAAAGAGACCTACTTCTGTGTGTCTGTCTTTTTATTGACTTTCTGTTCTGCCTTCTCATTGGTTGTAAACCCAATCACATGGCCTCCTCATCATTGTCTGTCTATACAGACCTCCAGGTCTCTATGGTTGGTATTGAGATCAAAGGCATGTGTCTCCATGCTGGCTGTATCTTTGAACACACAGAGGTCTGCCTGTCATGTGATTGGGACTAAGGGTGTGTGCTACCACTGCCAGACTTCTGCTAAATGGCTTGTTATTAGCTCTGACCCCCAGGCACTTTTATTTATTAACATACAAATAAAATCACATTTCAGCACAAATAAAATATCACCATAATATACTAGTCAGGCCTTTTAAGTTGTTCCCAGTCCTAGTAAAATTAATATGCCTTACATAACTGCCATTAACATAAGGAAGATGTTATCATTATCAAGCAAGATGCAAAGATTCTAAAAATGAAGGCTATGCTGCCTGCTAGGTTAATTTCGTTCTACATTTTTGTTGTCGTTTGTTTGTTTGAGGCAGGATCTCATGTTATATCTCTGGCCAGCCTTGAACTCTCTAGGTAGACCAGGCTGGACTAGAACTCACATAGGAGAGATCTATCTACTTCTGCCTGTGTAGTGCTGGGATTAAGGGTGTGCATCACCATGCCCTGTTCTTTTTCCACAGTTTGAAAGAAATGGGACTCTATAAGAAGCTCAGCTTCAACCATCACTCACTAACAAGCACCGACTTTGGTAAGCCCCTCAAGCAATGGCTTTGCTTACTACCAAACCTGACTACTTGGTCCCAGTTTTGCAGAGAAACTTGTTCATAAGTTATACTTTTGGAAGCCATATTATTATTATATTTGGAAGCCTAAATATTATTATATTTAGGAAGACATTATTAGTAATATCAGTTTGGGTTTTATATTAAGTAGGTAGGACTTAATTGCTTACATTGTTAGTTATGTTTTATAACATTTTGATTTCCAAAAACTGAGCAAAATCATATAGTCCCAGTGGATCACAACTTTCAAAAATTTATCCCAGCATCTGTCTAAACTCTCTTCCTCTGGATCAAGTTGAAGAGAAACCATTTTTCTAGTTTAAAATCTGAACACTGACCTTAGTCCTCAGGAAAGATGAAAGAATTTACTGGCTAATATGAAACCTAATGAAGATGGGTTTCAACAAAGCCAAATTTTGCTGCACATATATTTTAGGGTTTGTGTTCTATGAGCAGGCATTAAAATCTATGTATGCTCAAATGGATAGAGGTTAGATAGTCAAGAGAAGGGATCACTTTTCAATATTTACCAGAAACAGAAGAACTGTAAGGTCTTCCACTGACTATTGGTTAAGTGTCCCATTTTACCAATCCCCTCCCCATAAACTTAATCCCTGAGCTCATACTGTCTTTAAGGGGTACTCCTTGATTATAGCAATCTCGGAGAGCTCTGTCAGAACTCAAAGTTCACTGATCTCCTGACAAGTGCTTCTCTTGAGTGCTTAGTTTTAGAGAATTTCCCTTTGGCCTCCTCGGTGTCATCCCCAACACTCCAGGCTGCTCAAACCTGTTAGCAAAAGACAACCATTTCCCCTGCAAACCTCACTGGAAATACTGCAGCATCCACAGCCAACCCTAGACAAAGTCGTTCCAGAAGAACCTAGCCTCTATTTGCTCTCCATCCCTGCATCCCCCTCCTCTCTCCTCCCCCTCCCATCTCTCTCCCTTCCCCTCTCCCTCTCCCCTTTCTTCTTTCAACATCACAAACCAATTCATTCCTTTGGTGAGACATGCCTTTATTTAGTATATCAAAGCATATTGGTGTGGGCTAGGAGATGGAAATGCACCTATAAATACCTCCTAACAAGAAGTATTCTGTGGTTTAGGTGTTTTCCTCAACAATGTTCATTTGGTTTTCCCACTACATAACAATGGCATCCATCACCTCGCATGTCTAAAGGACGTTTCACCCTAAGTTTTGAGAAAGTTTGAATGCTAATTGAGGACAAGTTCAAGAAGCAAAAGCTCTTTATTCTGCCCTTGAACTTAAAATATATACATTGCAAGTTATAACGACCTCTGATCTCATTCTTCATCCTCAGAGGAACAAATGCTTTCAGGATCCAAGGAAGCCACTTTGAAAAGGCAGTTGCCTGTCACCTAGGAGACATTTCTCAACACACTCTCTGCTGCACTGGCAACTATAAGGGAATGTGGTCAGCGTTTGGAACGAGAGGCTCAAGTCGGATTGCCATATTCATAAAGACACCGAATCTAACTGGAGTTCTCACGCTTTCCGAAGTCAAATCTAACATGGGTTGAGTGTCGGTTGACACAGAACAAAGTGGGGGTGAAGGGATGGGGGAGATAAAAGTCCGGATTTGATCTCATGATGTTGACTTGTTCTCACTTGCATTGGATGTGCCCATTGGCGCAAGCCCTAGGAACAGAGACCAAGCCTCAAATCCTTGCTGCCCTTCTCCGGAACCCCGCGGCTTCAGCTCGCTCCAGCACTTCCCCCTCCTATCTCTCTTCCCGGCTGGGCGCCGTTTGTGGGTCCCAGTGGGACTCTTCGCAACCCCTCCGCAGAGAAGACCTTCAGGTGCCTTTATCACCTTCCAGCTCCTAGCCCGTTCTTGGCACCCAGAACGGTGTGCCCTTCACGGCCTTGATTGGAGTGGGAATTCTAGTTACCTAGAAAGTTGATGCTGCACCTCTGCAGTGGCCCTCTGCTCATCTCCCACCCGCCCGTGGCCTGTTGCTCCACGGATCCACCCTTTCCTTGTGTGCCACAGGACCATCAAAAGTGAGGCCCGAATGCTACCCAGCTTCTGTCGGTGATCCGGAACTGGCAAGGTCACCCTGCTCCAGGCAGGAGGAGAAAGTGCTTGGCTCTCAGGAGACTGAGTCTGCGGTGTGAAAACTGGGTGGATTCTCTGGACACACAGCCCAGGCCGCAGCGCCTAGGTGGAGGAAGTCTCACGCACCCATTCCCCTGCACAAGGTGGCGGGGACTGTGACCGTCCGGGTGGGGAATCCCTGTAGTTACCCCATCCTCCCACCCCCAGCAACCTCACCCCTAGGATGTAGCCCGCTACTGCAGGACTTCTATGCAAGGCTGTGAGTTTGTCTGGCAGCTTCTACTGAGCAGCTAATAGTATAACAACCCGGCTTTGATAAATCTGAACTAATTACCCCTCTTAATTAAAGTCTTTAGCAGTTGTTTCACTGTTTTGGCAAGACAACAGGAGAGACTTGCAGTTAGAAAACACCAGAGCTCCAGCGCACAGCGGAGCTGCTGATTAACACTTAAAGCGTTTCAAGGACCTGGCACCCGCCACGGTTTGGTTTTCATCCATGTCTCCTCCTTGAATGGAAGTATACTCAGCTATAAACATGTGCACACATCTAAAAACACGGAGCCTTTCTTTGCCAGCTGTGTACAAGTCAGTGTGTGTCTTCAGAATGATGGAGATACACACAACGCGGCCTCGAGATACAAGGTCCCCCCACCTTTTTGTACCACAAATCTACCTTTTTGTACCATGCCAAAGTCGTGTTTCTGTTAGACACACATCTTCGGTCTCAGAGTTTAACCATATTTCATAACCTTGCCCAAAGCATAGGGACAGACTATTTGCATATGGTAAATATTCAGATCAAATTAGTAGGCATAATTAATCCAAGAAAAAAAAAAAAGGATGAGTGTGGGGTGAGAAAGTCAGAGCCAGAGATCTTTAGTTGAATAATACAAAGTCTTGAAGTTTGTTGATTAAATAAGCATATTCCAAGTATTTATTTCCAACAGTCAATGAATCAACTTCTTCGTGCAAGAATCAAAACAAAATTTCAAATTCATTCATTATGGACCACTCTTATCTAATGTGTATGTGTGTATATGTATGTGCTCACAAACGTTGAACGTGCCTTCACGGGCACACACATCTGTGTGTATATAGAACATACACACCATGTTTTGTTGCTTCAGGGAAGGAAAAAAATTATAAACAATCAGCAGGCATTTTGAGACAGCAGAATCGACACAATGGAAATATATACAATAATAAAATTAAAATGGTGCAGCATTCCCGAGTAGAATAATACAGACCTCAATAAATACAGCAGATATTTGCTTAAAAACAAAACAAAAAAACAAACACCATCTCTCCACCCGAGATGAAAAAAGTCTTTCAACTTAAAAAAAATTGAAATAAGCCCCTCCAAATGTATCATAATTGTTAGTGCCAATATAGAATATAATACACAAAACCATTTAGCAGGTGCATGCAAAAGGCGAAAGGCCAAGGAATGTAGAGGCTTCTGGTCCGCTCAGAAGTGAGGGGCCCAACGGGCCCCAGTTTTTTGCAGCAGAGCCTAGACCAAGAGGTCCACCCTGGTCTGCCCACCTCCGCATTGGGGGCCCTCCCGCTGGGGTGCAGGGGGATCTTTGGCCTCCATCACTGGTGGCCTTGGTGCAGCCCGGGTTGCAGAGGCCCTGAAGGCGGCAACGTCGGCTGCATTGGCGGCAGAGGTGCAGGCGGCGGCTGCTGCAGCTGGGGCGGCGGCGGATCGCTGCCTGGCTCCCCAGTCGGAGTGCGGGTCAGCCCCAGGCTGCTGTCGTGCAGCTTGCGAACGTGCTTCTTGAGGTCAAAGTTCCTGCAGAAGCCCTTGCCGCACGTGGGGCAGGTGAAGGGTTTCTTGTCGTTGTGCGTGTGCATGTGGAAGGTGAGGTTGTACACCTGGTGGAAAGCCTTGTTGCAGATATTGCACTTGAACTGCTTCTCCCCGCTGTGGGTCAGCTTGTGGTTTTTGTAGTTCCCTGAAACAGAAAAAAAAAACAAAAAACAAAAAACAAAAAAACAGCCGGGATGAGGTTCTGAACCGCGCTTGAAAAGCAGAAGGTACGTAAAAGCAGAAGGTACGGAGGCCGGCTGAAGAGCCACCACAGCCCCGACCCAGGGTGCAGGACTGGTCCTCCTAAGTTTCTTTTTAAGCACACTGAGTTGATTTCTTCTACATATCAATACACATTAATTTATCTAGTCATACGAAACGAAAACTGGAGGTTACAAAGAAGTACCCTTGGATGTATCAAACGTGCCTTTTCTAACACTGGTCGGACCCGAGGGTAGGGAGTCAGAAGGCAGCCTTCCTCGGGGACGCAGTTACACTTAACGGGTCATTTTCTAAAACATCCCGAGAACACTCAGTATGGCTTTCCCAAGACCCACTGTGAGAAGACATCTGCTGGGCTCAATACCTTTTTGATGAAATCCTTTGCCACAGAATTCACACACGAATGGTTTGTAGCCCGCGTGGATCCGGGTATGTGTGTTTAACGTGGAACTTCTATTAAATGCTTTCCCGCACTGGTTGCATTTGTGAGGTTTTTCCTAAGCAGCAGAGAGAAAGGGGGGAATAGAGAATTTAATTTAAGGTACTTTGTTATTATGATGTGGAGCCCTCCCAGCACAATTCACTAACACCCTGAAGCTTTTAAACCGAACAAAGGCGACAATACAAGACATCTCCTCAGTGTGGCCAGCACAGCTCAACAGATCCTAGGCTAAATAGTGAGGCTCTATCGACCTTCTTTTTTGCGGGGGAAGGGAGGGGCGGGAGAGGCAAACATTTCCGAAGCCTCCTGGTAAAATTGTGATAGAGAACATACCTGCGTGTGAATGATCTTATGCCTGCAAAGAGTGCTGGCTTGCCGGAAACCTTTCCCACACACTTTGCAAACGAAGGGTCTTGCTCCTGTGTGCACCGGCATGTGACGGGTTAAGTTATAGTGTGCATTAAAGACCTTAAAATTAAACACATAGAAAACAGGTTAGCTGGACAGGAGATTTGAATTCGAAGTGGACAGAGGGAGGAAGGGGGGCGAGTTTTCACCCCTACTCTCCAAATACTAAAACGGAAGCGAGGGAGGGAGAAAGAAAGGAAAGAAGGAAGGAAGGAAGGAAGGAAGGAAGGAAGGAAGGAAGGAAGGAAGGAAGGAAGGAAGGAAGGAAGGGGAGGAACTCCTTTATGCATAATACCTACCTTTCCGCAGACTTCGCAAGTGAAAACTTTGGGTTTGGCATTAGGAGAGCCGCGGCTGAAATCCGAGGTTTTGAATGCAATTTTTTCTGACAAAAGTTGGGCGCTTTCTTTCATGTAATGCTGCAGCTGAGCCTGGGACAGGTCTTTGAAAGCTACACCCGAAGGGAGCTTCTCCACCGCGGGGACAACCAGTTTATTCCTTTCGGCTAAATACGTTTTTGGCGGTGGGTGCAAAGGGGAACTGAGAAAATAGGAGGCCACGGGGTGGATGTTCACGCCCGCAGCCGGGTGGCACGGACCATCACCTCGGTTCAGGTAGCACAGGGCGCCCATGGCGTGGAACGAAGAGTGGTTGACCACACGCGGCCTTACCAGCTTGTACTGCTGCAGGGGCAGCGCGTCGCGGGCCAGGTCGCCCTTGAGACTTAGCGCGCAGTTGAGCAGGTCGCTGCAGCTGAACGCCGGCGCGGAGGGTGCCACCGCGGGCGGCGCCGGAGCCTCCAGGCTGGCCTTGCGGGGCTCGGAGCCAGTCGCTCCGGCTTTGGAGCTAGGGTCGTACGCCACGGGGACGAAAGGGATCATGCAGGGGATCGACGAGTTGAGGTGCAAGGAGTGCTTGGGGTCTCCTTTGGGCACGGCTCCCTGCAGGAAGTGGGGGACCGGCAGGGCCTTGGGCTCGGGGGTGCGCGCCATGATTCGTTCGATGGAGAAAGCCAAGGGTTTGGATGTGTTCATCACGTTGCCCCGAGCTGGAGCCGTCGCTAGCATTTTGGTGGTCGCGTTGAGGCAGCTACTGTCCATGACTGAGTCGCCAGCTTCCGTCCGCCGCCCGGGTTGGGTTGCACGGTCGTTGCCTCGTCCCCTGCTTGTCACAGACCTGCGGAGAGGACAGGCACCGTCACCACCAGCAGCCTCCTCCTCCTCCTCCCCAGCATCACCAGCCGAACCTGCCTGCCCAGCCCAATGGACTCCTGCCAGCCCATCGCAGAGTTCTTGGCGCACCAATGACTCGGGGACAATCACTACTTATTTCTATCAATAGAAAGTGTTGTGTCAATAACGCAGCCAAGATCTCGCCAATCGTTAACTTCCAAGAGGAGAAGGTAAACTAGATAATTGCTCAATTCGCTTCCAACAGTCAACAGGAAAACTTTTTTTTCCCTCTGCAGTCGGTGACTACTTTTCATTGGTGAGAGAGGTTCCCCCGCCCAGAAGAGGCGGGGGCGCTCTCCCTCCGCAATGCGCCGCGCCCTCCCCTCCACGCAAGCACTCGCCCGCCCGCCCGCACACACTTCTCTACTCTTCAACCACCCCTCCCCCTTGTTCCCTCTGTCTTTTTAATTCTCAATCTGCTTAACCAGGCTTTAGAGGCCAAGCAAATCTGAGATCAATTTTCTCGTTTAGCTCTAAGTGACATCATCTAAAATCATTGTGCTAGGGCTAAATAAGGAAACAGAGTCTAATTCAGGGGCAAATGCCAGGCTATATTTATCAAACGCCAGGCTCTAGAAAGCCTTGACCAGGAAGCCTCTGACGGCAAAATCCGAGGTTTCTTTGCTTGGTTCCGCTGAGCCCAGGTCGGGCCACGCTGCCTCCCACGCAGTCCACTTTCGTCCTCCAGGACCCAGGGAGGGGGTGCTCGTTCCCTGAATCCTGGAGTCTCTACGGCTCGAGCGCATCTGGACCCTTTGGAAGACACCAGCAGGTAACTGGCCTCCCAAAATGCCCCTGAGATTTGAAGGCCTTGGGAGGCTTGTTATGTGTTTGTGGTTTTGCAAAAGTGATACCCATGGCAATAGTCCTGGGAAAGACGCACTAGCACCACAAAGTTGAGGAGTTGCAAGGAATAAGCGGGTGCCACACCGCCAGAAACCTAGACGCGGATCGGACTCACACACAAACACACGCGAGAGCGCGCTTCCTTGAGTTTCCAAGGGAGAACCCCGAAAAGGCAAAGAACTCGCGCCCACAGCTCTTTCCGAGCAGAGCGTTCTAAATGTTGAGCCGAGAGGGGAAATAGAATCTATCGATCCCCATCCCGGCTGCCCGCGTCTGTATGCCTCTCAGTAGCAGTCCGTGCCCGCGACACCTAGTGTGTCTGTGCGCAGAGAGACGAACTAGGCGAATCGTCCGCCCCGCGTGGTGACCACAGCCACATCTGTGGCCCCCAAAGAGCGCTTGGCGACCCTGAACGCACCCCCAGGTCCTTCGGGCGCCTGGCGCCCTCCTGTTGTGACGCCTGGGCCCAGATTCCTGGGGCTGAGTGAAGACGCGGGAGGCTGAGGCTCCCACTGAGCGGGTTCCCGCGGCTCCGGCCGGTGCGAGCCGAGAGCAGCAGAGCCAGTGCGCGCCTTCCCGGGCGCAGTCCGCACAGAGCCTCCAGTCGCCGGCTGCAGAGCCCGGGGACTAGGCATGCTCCTGAGGTGCTGGTAGTAGGAAAACCCGGCGGTTCTCAAGCTAGCGCCCTACGGAGCGCTGAGCTGTGAGCCCTGAGCTCCACCGCCTGGAGGCGACCTCCAAGCACCATCCGCCTGGTGAGTTATTCTAAGGTGTATGGACCGGGGAGCCCAGGTATCTGGCTAAGAGTATGGTGTGCTGTTCTCTGGTGAGAACTCTGGAAAGGGCTAGCAATGGGAGGTGGATGTGGGAGCCTAGGATTGTTGAGCCCAAGGCCAGTTTACTCAAAGGTGCCAAGCTGGGGTTCAAATGGAGGCTCTTTCAAGTATTTCTCCTGCCATACCCCTTTTCTAGCCCAGGCCAACCCAGGGACCCAGACTCCTCCGCCCTACCCTGACTTTGCCTGAGCTAGTTCAGCTACAGCCAGGAAAAACAAAAACAAAAACTTTGGGGTGGAAACGAAGCGAGAGCGAGTCGTTGAGGCCTGACAGTGAGGCGAGACCGCTGAGTGGATGCTGGGGAAAAATCATCGCTGAAAAAATAAGGGCCAGCAGAAAGTCTTTTTGAAAGTTGCTGCGGCTAAAAAGCCAGATGGTGGGAAAATCTGGCTGTTTGAGGCCCGCCTTAGTGGCTAGGCCAGGGAGTGTCTCATTTCAAGTATCCAGGCGGCTTCTGGAAGACCTGTGAAGCAGAGAAGAGCAGGAGTCCAGGACAGGACACCCCGGACTACACAAAACCCGGGAGGCATTGTGGAGCCCTTTTGAACCTCAGTTTTCCTCAACTGGAAATGTTCGATTTGCTTTGGGGGCCTTAGAGCCTCTGTCCTTCACCCTGATCAGACAAAAGGTGCGGAACCCGAATTGCTTAAGGAAAGACCGCGGGGCGGGGGTGTCCCTGTCCCACGACAGATGGGTAGAGGTTAAGACTTTAATTGTTGCCTTTGGGGGCGGATCAGATTCCCTTTCCTACCTGCCTTCCCAACAGCGAAAAATCTGCCTCCGGCTGCACTCCTCCCTCGCCGGTACAAGTTTAAGGAAGAAAGCAAAGAGGCAAGAAACTGCTAGGTGCGGAAAGCTATGGAGCGCCCAGCTGACTTGAGCAACTCACCGGCCTCTGGAGCGTTACCTGCCTTCTTGACTGAACGCCACCAGTTTCTTTTACGTTTGTCGCGTGTCCCTCCCTCTTCTCTCCTTCTCCTCCCCCTCCCCTCTCCTCAACGGGGTGAAAACGCCTTTATTTGCCTTCGATAAATTTCCTCTTCAGTGGGCACTAACTTTTAAAAAAGGAAAATATTAGCGGAGGACTTTATATGGTTAACATTTCAATAGTTCGCCTTTCATTGGCCTTTCGGGATTTGCCTTTTCTGCCAAGTGTTTGAAAATGTCATTTGGGTAAATACAGCAAGGCACCAATTATCTCCTTTCTTTTGAGATAGCCCTGATTTTGCTAATCCCAAAGACCGAAGATGTGTTTTACAAATCCAAGTCTTAATATGCCAATATTTGTTAATATTTTCCACTCGGTATATAACCAAAACATATATTAACGTTTAATATGTGTTCCATAAGGTAAAGATTCTCTTAAAATACTGAATATATTTAGGAACAGTTTCTTAATGTCAGAAATGAATACTTTGTTTTATTTACAAACATTTGAAATTACAGAGGAGTAACAGGCACAGAGCATAAATTTGAAAGGTTTAGAAGCGTCTTAGAGATTCCATCAGTTAAAATTGTTCGATTTACTTAAAAGAATATAAAGGAGTTTTGTTTGTTCAGTTAATAGCAAAATAGAAACTTAGAGATCTTTAGGATTTCTTGGAGATTCCCATAATCTTCCCGTCTGTGGTTTAGAGCTGATTTTACTTGTCCCACCCATCGACTTTAATCCCAGATGCAAGTTGAGTCTAAGTGTTTTGGTTAGCAAACATGGGATATCCCATGGAACCAGAACAGTCCTTGATATAAAGAGGCCTAATAACAAAGTGGAATCAACACCCGAAAAAACAAGAAAAATCTTCCTACTCTGTAACAATTGAAAGTTCCATCTTTTGTAGACTCTAACCTTGTATTTCAGTGTTTTCTTAACTGTGTTCTTCATAATTCTCAAAGATTTGGATAATTTCCCTCAGACTTCTTACTTATCCCCTGTCATAAGCTAGCAGTTTTAGGGTAAAGATTATTGCCATCTGAAATTTAAAAAAAAAAAAATAGGAGATAGCCATAAATTACCAAGTATTCTGTAATCTTTGACTATTTCCTTAATAACTCACAAAATATTGATGAAGTTTTTTTATTTTAAAAACTGAATCGGAAAACATGACAACATAAGCAGGTCTTCAGCCAAGTGCATAGATTTGCCACTACTCTATTTTTAGGGTTTTCAGACCCAGCAAGCATCCCTGACTTCCAGCTCTCACAGTCCAGCTCTCACAGCCCAGATAATTAGTTGTTATAATTATCACGGCATCCTAGATGTTTGAGCGCATCTACCCTGTTTCCTGTCTAATAAAACAACACCAAAGGCCACACAGATAGATCCCTTCTAGAAGAGGAAAGGCATCACTAAATTCCTCCACTGTCTTTGTCACGGATTGGTGTTTTGTTGTTTCTTCTGGAGTGCCATAGAGACGGGCTGTTGGGATAGGACACAGATAAGGTCTGCATGGTTCCAGGGAAGAGACTTTTTGAATACTTCACACTAATGAATGGATACACAGTGGGACTAACTTCGCAGCACATTAACAAACATGAGAACAGCTTCAGATTTAAGCCTTCCAGCGTGCTTTTAGTCGATTTGGTGGCTAATAAAGAACTCTTGTTGTAGAGGTGGGTACTGGAAGAGTCAGCGAGAGAACTGGGGGCGGGGGGGGGGAGCGAATATGAGCAAACTACATTGTAGTAAGTTCTCATATAATGAATAAAAGTATTACTTTAAGAAAGACTCCTTGGTAATTTTGTATAGCATGTGAAGGGCGGTGTTACCAGTTAGGACTCTGTGAACTGGAGAACCGCTCCCTCCCTCCCCCACCCCCCACTTGGACTGGAGGAGTGTGAGAGCAGTCTGTTACTTGTCTCCAGACCTTTGTCCTTACTATTTCTTTTGTATTAGGATTGTCTTTAAATTCAATGAAATCATTACTCTCCAAACAGCATTTGCATGTTAAACTAGTTTGTAAAGGGAAGTGAAACGTTCTAACTCAGGAGCGTTCACAAAGGCGGCAGGTAACTCTGTCAGCCGCCTCTAGGGCTGATGATGTCTACCCCTACCCTAACGCTGGGATTTCTCTCACCCCGCTCTTCCAGGCCTGTAAGGCGCGTCCCTCTCGGCTGCAAGGCTACGTGCAACTCAGGCCTGGGCTTGGTGGAAAAAGAAGTTCACAAACAAGGAGCTCAACTTTTCGTGCAGC